TGCCAGAAATCTTGCAATCTTGGTCTTCAACAAGTAAACTCGTCGGCGGGCAAGTGGGCAAATGAGGAATGAGGAAACATGGGGAAAGATGACCAAGTTGCCAAGATTGCGTGGCAATCTTGCNNGCAATCTTGCTCCCCCCGGCTGACCAAAATTGCCAAGATTACGAAGATGGTTCCTTCAATTCATTGCTCTAGATTCCCCACACAATGTACGTACCATTGCTACTTCCCCCCATCCCTTTACTAGGGCAGAGGCCCAGAGTGCAAGGTCAGGCAAGGTTTAGGGCTAAGGGGGGGTTTCGGGTTCAGAGGCTATGGGGTTTTACCATGAACCCTAAGCTTTGCAAGCAAACATGGGCCAAGCCTTAGGATACATGTGCCTAGAGGACAAATAATTAGGCCTTATAAAACTCCTACAAAAGTAATTGTGGGGGCAAGGTATAGACTAGTATAGACGATGTTGCAGCCTTCTGAAAGGTGGTTTAGGGATTAACGATTGAGGATGCCCTGAATCCTAAATCGCTTAGGTTATGGGTTTTGGGTTTAGGATTTAGGGGTGAGCCCTCAAGCCCTTAATGTTATAACTCCACTTCGCTGGGCAACGCCAGGGGTTGTATGAAGTCTTGAAAAGCATGCCGCTATTCAGCGGCTGCTTTATGCACGGAATTGCGTGGCATTGTGGACGGCTTGAACACCCGACACCTACACATCATCATAGGCAAGCTGCGAAATTGTCTCTTACCCTTCAAGTAAACAATCAACCTTACCCGAACCCCATAGAGCAGGTAAAATAGTGGACCAACTCCCGTAAAAGGCTAACATAATCATACATACTTCTGGGGTCCAAATGAACCAGATTAAGAACCTCGGAACCCTAAACCCTAAACCGTTAAGAACCTCTCATTCTCTCAATGATTAGAACTGGATTTCGGTAACTAGTTGTTATAAGGTACTCAAAGAAGGACGACTTTGGACTACTGCCAGTCTTTATCTACATATGTAAGCCATACACACTCAGCCGCGCGCCGCCAGGTTCTCGCGTGTCTCATTGATCATGCTCCTGGCTCCACCGTGGACCAAGAGAACCCAATACCTCTTCGTTGAGGAATATACCTTAAATCAGAAT